GTGGAGGATCACTAAACATGAAACAATTAATGAAATGATAATCACTCCTTTCATGAGGCAAGATGGTTTTGCCTTCGTTATGTAGCTTTGTTTTAGAAAGTACCACCTTCCTTGCTGTCCTCCTTAGTGTTGCTCCCACTATTCTCTGCTTCAGCTTCCTGCATGGTAGATGATGTAGATACAACAGATGTACCTCATTTTCCTTGGTTGAGCCTCTGATTAGCTCTCACCAGCCAACAGCTGGCTTTGGCTAAAATGTTTCAGTGGTCTGCTTCGACAGGTGAATCATGTTGAGACTAGAGATCCCCCTTTCACAAACTGCAGAATTAAACAGAGTATCCATCTGATGAAGTTGAGAAAGCTACTGAGGTCTGTTTAAAAAAGAATAGTCAACATTACTTGTAATTTCCGCTTGGCCCCAAATAAAGTTTAATAGGATACCAATAAAACGTCCACCAACAGTGTATCCAAAACAAAATCGTTTTTTGGATTCTAACCTGAGCCTGCAGAGAACACAGACTTCCAAGTATACAGACTTCCCAAGCAGCTGACCTGGGTTCGATAGCCGGCCAATGCATCTAACCTTATATCAACTTGCGATTGCCACCTGTTTTTTCTTAAAAGTTCTGTCACAGACAGAAAATGCTCAATCCTACTCATTTTCCAGAGACATAGGAAAGATTGACTGCTATTTCTGACCTCAACACACTACTGAATAAGACCACTGCATTTCATTACATTGTGTAAGGTCTACTTTTCCCCACAAATCCGTATAATGAAAAGCCCAGGGCCAAAGCATGACAAAGCTCCAGTTGGAAGCTGGCTCCCTTATGGGGAGCAGAAATAAATCGTGTATACTTGCTATTTTTATTTGTTTCTTCCATCCATCAATTATCGTAACCTCTTATTCCCTAATGGGGTCCCGGGGGAACTGGAGCCTATCCCAGAAGCCAATGGGGAGAAGCATGGTACTAAAAGGTCTTTCACAGAGAGTCAAAGCAGCTTCACTCACTTTCAGGATCTAGAGGCTGACATCACAAAATCTTTGCTCTCTGCACTCTGGTTAAAATCCAACAAACAATTTCCTTTGGGATCAATGATGTATCAAGTAAAGTTAAGTCATTTCACACTCCTGCTTCTTCCTGCATGTTAGCATTAGATATCCTCCTGTATCTTTGTTCATTATGTCCACTGGAGAGTCATTGGTGGAATCGTGAAAAAAAAACAGCGTTTGTTTCAGAAACAGGAGCAACTGCAAATATAAAATCTTAAAAGGAAGTGAACAAGCCTGTATGCAAGGTGCTGTAGCTTAGCTGGTCAAAGCGTCTGTCTTGTAAACAGGAGATCCTGGGTTCAAATCCCAGCAGTACCTCAGTCCTTCATATGACTTCCTGTTCTTCACACAGTTAACTCTTGTGCTTTAGCTACAGAACAGTCTGTTGCTCTCTAAACAATTCTTGTGTCTCTTAACTTCAATGATACTTTCTTTTAAGTTTTTTATTATAAAGATTACAAAATAACGGTGGCACGACGGTGTGGTGGTCAGAAGTGTTGCCTCACAGCAAGAGGGTTCCCAGTCTGAGTCCCCAACAACTTTCCTAACAGCTGAATGTTTCACACAGAAAGTCACAGAAAGTCACACCAACTGGTTCATGACTGGATTTGGACCTGGTCAATGTTATGTCTCATGTATCCAGCTGTCAGTGAAGTACACCTACACTGCTGGCCTGAAACATTTGTTGCAACCTGGGGGAGAGGGGTGGATGGATTTTCTCTTTTTTTTTTTTAAACCCAAATATAAGATGTTTAAAATTAATATGGGATACCAACAACGCCACCTGGAATGACTCCAGGAAAAATAAAATAGTAAGGACACAGGTAAGTTTTACTGGAAGTGAGACAAGATTCAAATGGTTTTCTTTACAAAAGTTTATTAACTTCAATATTCTTCCCCTTGTTTAAAAGTGGTCACAATAATCTGCAATTAAATGGTTAAAACAGTAACTACATTCTTTAATAAGATTGACTATACAATAATTTCATAAGAGGAAACTAAGGCTTACCAGTGGGGGGGGAGTGGTGAGAAAAGGGGCAACATCCAGTGAAGAAAAGGGACCACCCTGGACACTACAAAAACACAGCAAACAAAAAAAAGAAGGTGCTCCAACAAACACACAAACCAAGACACCGCCACCAGGGATCACCACAGAAGCCTCAGTCCCTAAAGGAAAGACAAAAATGAAACAATATGAGTAAAACAGTAGTACATAGCACTACAATATTGCACTTCGTGGTGCCATCAATGCTCCCGGCGCTAGGAGAAAGTTCAGAAAGGTCTTTTGAAGAATTTCCGTAGGCAAAACAGCAGCGAGTGTCAAATCCAGTATCATGGTGGTCAAAGACTCATCGGGAGGCTAAACAAAATAGAGCAGATCGTCAATACAACTGCTGATGAAAACTAGTATTTACGATAGCCGCTTACCTGTCGCATTATCAGGCTGCCAGATGAACTGCAATTCCGCCTATGCCGCACAGCTGTAACAAAATGCTATGTGAAGGCTTTGTTTATATGGGGTAGATATTATCTAGCCCTTACCCAGCACCGCTCAGCAGACACCGGGACCAAAATGACACGACGTCATGATGCACGCAGCTTCGTGGCAGGTGGATACCTGCTTATATGCAGCAGCCACAATTGATCTTGAAGTGGTAGCGTACCATTTATGCTGCTACAAGTAGATAAAACTAAAGAATAGAAAAAACATTCTAACATTTAGTTTCATCTAATACTTTTTTTAGTTTCCCGTAAAGTCTTCGTCAACTATTCATCCTGTGAAGGTCTGCATGCACTTCTCTGCTCCCAGCTCCTGACAGCCTTCTTATTCCTCACCTTTTCCGGCCACGTTGCTGGCGCCATTGTTAGCCGGTGTTCTGTCAGACCAGCACACCCACCGTCAATACGCATGCGCAAAACGTCAGATTAGCATACCCGTATGCTAGTCTGTCTATCAGAACAGCACACCCACCGTCAATACGCATGCGCCACGTTTAGCAGAAATTTAAGAGTATTACATACGACTTCCGGCAAGATGGT